CCCCCCCCCCCATCTGCTTTTTTCCATGATTAAAGTAAGATGCCACTATATATGTAGGTAATTAGCTGAACACGGTGTTCTTGGATATACTTACAATTTAAAGCAATTTGGAAGCCTACCAGTGCCTCAATCATTATAATAAAATAAATTCTAAGAACCTATATATTTTGGCATTTGACTTTTTTTTTTTTTTTTTTTTTTTTAAATCATGGCCAGGGGGGTTGAGAAATCAGAGCTTCCTCTGCCCCCTTCACTCACCAGGATGCAGATCTAGCTGTGACTGTCCCTCCTGCTGCTTGTGGTGCTGAGCAGCCCTAACATGCCCGTACCCCTCACTCACAATCTGTAGGCCCTGCCTACCCCTGCCATTCACTCCATCCTGGCAGCAGCAGCTCCCCTCCTGCACCAGAACCAATTGTGACTCTCTCCCCTGCTACTTTGTGGCGCTGAGCAGCCCTGCCTGACATGTGGTGCCTTGCCCCTGCTGTTGCCCCTCACTCCCAAGCCACAGCCCCCCTCAGCTCTGCCTGTGCCCCAGTGTCCTGCATTCTGCCATCCCCCAGCAAAGGGCAGCCTGGCAGCAGGCAGGGCAGGTGGGGGCTACCCTGCTGCTCCCAGGTGCTCACCAACCAAGTGGTCCTAGATAGTGGCAGTAGGCACAGCACAGCATGTCCTAACAGAGCAGGGTAGCAGAACAGCTGCAGGCTCACTGTCACTGCAGCTGGCCCCTGCATGCTGCCCAGGGCCACTGCCACCTGTCCCTGCTGCAGATCCAGAGCTTCTCTGTTGGAATGTGCTGCACTAGCTCATCATAGTTCATGCAGTACCAGCCCAGAGCATTCAGATGTGCCTGCCACCACCCTCTGGGCAGGGAGCAGCAAGACTGGAGTAGCAGGGACTGTAGCAAGCCAGGGACTTGCATGGGGGCTGTAGGCAAGTGTTGTAGCCCTCACTTGGTGGTGGCTGAGAAGCAGCTGGGACAGACCCCACCTGGGTTGCTCTTGCTGCATCCCCCTCCCACGTCCCTTCCTCATCTGGGATTGGGGCTCTCCAGCCTCATCTCTTGTACCCCGATTCAGCAAGCTATAGCTTCCTGGTATTCTGGGACCTCCACATCTCCCCTTTTTAGTCCCATCTAGTCCACCAGTAGTAAACTAACAAAAGCACGCTGGCTGTAACAAAAATAACTTGCTCTAGGTATAACATATGACAGCAATAACTCATCCAGCAAGACCTCCCCCTACTAGGAGCTGTGCTCTTTCATAAGGCACCAGCATTTCACCGAGATTCCTTAGCGCAGCTTTGTAGCCAGCCCAGCATCCCCCTGCAGTCCTTGTTTTTTCATCCAGTGACTCATGGCACTAATTTGCCTAGCTTGGCCCAGGCCCAGGCCCAGGTTTATATGCCACTCAAGCCTTACCCCCACACAGTCAGGTGATTTATCAGCTGGTCTAACTCTAGGGCTGTTTATTAACCCCAGCCTTGCTGGCTCTGGCCTTTGTCTGGTTCACAAAATCTCTTCCCTTAAAGGGGCCATTCTACTTTTCTGTAGCTGAGTAAGGATTCTGTTACAGACCCCCAGAAGGTTGCTTTTAGTCCCTCATGTTTATGCATTGGTGCACCATTTCATTATATGGTCACATTTTCCGACAGAATCTGTGTCGCTTAGTCCAGGGGTGGCCAGCCTGTGGCATGGGTGCCACAAGTGGCATAGGCAGCCTTGGTGTGTAGCATGTGGCAGATTGAGGCAGGGAGCACAAAACAGAGCAGAGGAGTGAAGTGGCACTTGGGGAGAAGGAGGCAGGGCTAATTTATGGCATGCCTGCCAAAAAGGTTGGTCCCCACTGATTTAGTTGATGGTGGTTTAGTTAATGGTCAGATATTCAATAACTTTTCTTACACTCATTGTTTCCATATTTTATATCTTTACCTTTACATTCAAGGCTCACACTGAATAATATTTGCTTCCTTATGGGCTTCTTTATGGTGCTTATACCAGTAATATGTTCCGTAATGTGTCACAAAATTCGTGAAGTCCACAACACTCTTGTAAGGTAAAAAAACTGATATTTATTTCATATTATATAGATGGGGTACTGAGGTACACTAAAATTAAGGCAAAGATTCTCAAAAGCATCCACTAATTCTAAGATACTTAGGACCAGATTTTTTAGAGTATTATACTTAACATTTTTATAGTGCTTTGTATGTTCATTGTACAGCTCCAGTTTGATTTTAGCTTTGGTTGCTAGTTCCAGGTATGGGCAACAGTAGAGCTTCCCAGTCAATGGCTATAATTATGCCCTGCCTCCCCTATGTTTAAAAAAAAAAAAAGTTCCTCTCTCCATCCCCCACCTGTATTCTAAGAAATAGCTGAAACATTTTCCCTGAAATGCTTCCCCCTCTCCTGAAAAATTCAGTCTGAGGCAAAGAAACTGAAGGAGCGCAGTTGGTAAACCTAAAAGCAACTAAAACTGATCTTACAATATAAAGTGTTTGTCAGTCTTTTTGGCAGACTACCAGCTCTGCTGTGTACTGTGAAAGTAAAGCAATGGAAATTGATTGCACTGTGAAATAACATCTTTGCAACCTGTATTCCAATATTGAATGTGATGTCATATGCTGGAATAGTTATTGTGCTGATGAAACTGGTAACTTAATTTTATTTTATAATTATGATTTGGTATCCTTGTTGAAAAAACAGGAGCCTTCCTCAGTCTTCTAGAAAAGATAAACAAAATGACTAGTTAATTTTTATGATGCGTGTGGCCCTCGTTTTACTGTGAAGTCCACATCAATGGATTTTGTATAGAAAACAAAATGGTTGTGGTCATGCCTGTATACTGATATAACTTCTAGCTTTCTATAATCTCCTCATATAGAAATCCCCATCTACCGAATCAGCTTTTGAATTGGCATGACAAATAATCTCTGTGTGGCATTGCTCTGCACCTCTACAGGGCAAGGGTTTCTTATAGGCCCTCTAAAGAAAATGTTCACCTTTCACATGTTATGTTTTTCATGCCACGTTCCTGCTTGGGGTTTTCTTAACTCAGCATTTCTTTACTACTCTCTTTTGTTAGATGTAAACCCTGCACAGAGCAATACATTGTTAGAATGTTCAAGTTTTAGAAAGAGATGCAGGGAATAGCACATTTGTCATTAATTTTCTAGATAGAAAAACTGCTGTGGTCACTGTTTGCATGCTCTGTTCATGTCTATAACTATATATATTCTTCTATGCAAAATCATATTTTAATTCTTCTGTTGGTATTGGATGATTCTGAATAATTCTTTGTAGAATTCCTTTGTTTTCTAGTACATCAAACTTGCCCTGCCTAACAGACTGCAAGAAACACAATTCTAGATTAATATGTATAAAAATCACTGGCTTTTAACAAATTCCCTGCTGCCTTCTAATTTGGATGGTGGGGGAAAAACAAACATTTGATTACTTTTTATTTTCACAGGGTTCAGGGACTCTTCCTGGCAGTTATGCAGTTAGAGTTGCACCAAAACAGTATCTTCTTCAGTAAGTACAATATATAACAAAAAGAAGTCCAAAAGGACCTTCTGTCTGCCAACACAAAATACCTTATCTTGTAATTGTGAATATGTTTCTTCCCTCATCTAGAAACAAGAACTTGATGTGGATCCAGTTCTCACTAGGCACTGATTTGCACACTGTTTTTCAGAGTTATGGCAACATGCCTTTGGTAAGTGTTGATAGACTCTTAGGGGACATCTACACATGCGCTTTAATGCAGATTAGCCTATTTTAACATTAAAAGCATTTAAAGCATCACTAAAAATCATGCTATTTAGTAAATGTGCATTAGAATAGACTAATACACAGTAAGCAGTCACTTTAAAAACCATGTTCTTTAGTTAATGAGCATAAGACAGGGTAATGTGCATTTTCCTAGTACCTCACAATGGAGGGCACTTACACTCATACAGGGAGCTTGCTCCTCAGAGCAGGCTAGATCTGGAGCACATAAATTAACATGTTCTGGCAACCTTACACATCACGTGTATTAGTGGTACAGCATACTTCTGCACTGAGAAAATGACGGCAGTGTGCTTTGAACTAAAACACGTTCAAAGTGCTTTAGTTCAAAGCTTACTGCTACCATTTTTGTTAGTGCAGAGTTGTGCTGCGCTGCAGATACACGTGACACATAGTCGCTTTTAATTAGCACAGCTTGCTAATTAAAAGTTCTTAGCATCGTGTTGGGAGTACATGTAAAAATTCCCTTAACTACTAGATTTAATATGCATTAACTAAAGCATGTTAATTCATGTGTAGATGTGACTCTAATGTTTATAATCTCAGTAACAAGCAAATATACAGAAAATCTCTGGTTTTAATCTTTTTTTCAGCATAGGTAAGGTTTTGTTTTTATTCTATTGATGCCAGATATACAGGGAGTGGTATTTGTGGTTTGAAAGATTTACTCAGTGGGGACCTAGAGCAGCATTTTACCCTTGACTAGAAGATGTAGTATTCTTGTCAAATGTCTCCTATTGTTGGATGGATGCATGCTTTAAAACAGTGGTTCTCAACCATTTTGTACTTAAACCCATTTGTAAACATTGACAACCAGTCCAGACCCAGTGCTCCTCATTCCCAACTCACTGCCCCCAGGCCCCAGCCCCCCCCCCTCAGTGTGTGTTTGGGGGTGGAGCTGGGGTGCCCAAGCAGCTTTTTGCAGGCTGGAACTCTGCCAGCTTGCAAGGGAAAAGCCATGGTTTCCCACATTTTTCTCTGTTAAAGGAGAATCCATTTTTAAAGTTTGTCCACAACCCTTTCAGGTAGTTGAAGGCTGCTATTACATCCCCTCTCAGTCTTCTCTTCTCTAGACTAAATAAGCCCAGTTCCATCAGCCTCTCCACAGAAGTCATGTGCCCCAGCCCGTAACCGTTTTCATTGCCCTGTGTTGGACTCTCTCCAATTTGTCCACATCCTTTCTGTAATGGGAGGCTCAAAACTGGACACACTACTCCAGATGTGGCCTCACCAATGCCAAATAGAAGGGAATAATCACTTCCATTGATTTGCTGGCAACACTCCTACCAGGGCAGCCGAGTATGCCATTAGCCTTCTTTGCAACAAGGCCACACTTTAAAAGATGAATACACTACCATGCTGCATCCAAAGAAAAGCCATTGTTCTCCAGGTAGTTGAATTCTCAATTGATTGGTCTTGGGGAAGAATCACCAGCTCTTTTAGAAGTTGCTTAAGTGTGAAAGTGGCACTCATTCAACCACTACTGTCCTTTGTCATGTTTATTTTCTTCATAACCCTAAAGAACCTTCACCTTTCGCATTAAAAAACTTCACCAAGGCGCCCCCGGGGGTTACAAGAAATAATGGCCACAAGCTGGCAGATTTAGACTAGACATTAGGAAGAACTTCTTCACAGTTAGAGTGGCCAGGGTCTGGAATGGGCTCCCCAGGGAGGGGGGGCTCTCCCCTACC